CGCGGGGCACGCCGGGAGATGCAGTCCTCCTGGCGTCAGTACCGCCCTGGGCCCCCACAGAGGCCCGCGTGGCACGCCGGGAAATGGAGTCATCAAAGGCCTACGCGTAGACGGCGGGGATGACGGTTTGCGCTGTACGTCGGGAAATAGTCCTAGGTAATCCGTGAGCCAACTGTGCCGAAAGGCGAACCCCTGAGGCACTTTGGAAAACTGAGCCAAAGCCACACACCCATCCCTCTGCGGCCACGACCAGCCTCTAGGTGTGCCTCAGAAATGTAATTGCAGCCGCTCCATCCCTGAGCTGTATAGACCTTGATGCATGCTGGGTAACGGAGTCCAGTTGCTCAGTCTTTTGACTGTGTGACTTCTGACGCCAGGTCCACTCTGGGAAATCGAGTTGGTGTCCTTAAACTCTCAGATCTCGGGCCGTGGGGCAAGTTGGGAAATGCAGTCGTGGCTACACCCTCACCGCATTGCAGGTGTAAAGAGACTTCGAAAGCACGCCGGGAAATGGAGTCCCAAGTGGTCTTCTACACCTCAAGTATGTACCACAGTTCCAGAGATAGGCCAGTAAGTAGAGTAGACATCGCGCTTTACCTACCCTATACTAATCAAAGCCGCAATCCCTGCCGGGAAATATAGTCGACATCAAGGCTTCCGTGTAGTTGCTACAGCAAGCCCTGGTTTCTTCTGGGAAATGGAGTTCAAAGCCATCTCCCCATTTACAAAGGAGGCAGGATCTACTACCAGCCCGAAGCATGCTGGGAATAGTCCAGAGCAGATCCTGACCCTTTGTGAGAGTATGCTCAGAGGATTGCTGGGAACTGGAGTCCAACGGGTACCACTGGGGTTGTGTGACCGAAATTCCCGGAGGAAACAAGAAATTGTTTCAGTGTCTCCTTCCCGTCCCCTGATCCAAGGAATAAGCCCAAGTCAATCAGTGAGTGCTGGAGAAAAAAATTCTAAGTACCTTTAAATTCCAGGTAATCACCTATCAGAAAGGAAAAACCTCCCTCTGCCTATTTTCGAAGGGTTTAGATAACACAGTTTCTAGTGGTTTCTCTGAGCACTTGTCTTCGGATACAAATTAGCTTTTTCTAGCAATATAGGTAGCACTAGGAAGCCAAAAACAGAGACTGAGTTTCTTTTTTTTTTCCCCCTTTTTAGTACTAGGGGATCGAACTCAGGTCCATTATGCTTGCGAGGCAGGCAGCAGAACCACTGAGCTAAACCTCCGACTCTAAATTTCTGTCTTGAATCCTCATTCAGCTTTTTGCATTCCTGAGCTTCCTAAATTGCAGGATCCTGGCGGGCCCTAAACAAACCCGGACACAAGAAGTAGCCTCAGGTTTGTGCGAAAACTGAGTCGCCTCGTTTCAGTTAATACCCGGAAGAAGGGCAGCCTCAAAGGGCGTTGGGAAACAGAGTTCTGCGTCATCCACCGCACCACACCCTCGCACCGCCCTAAAAGCTTGGAACTAGAATGAAAGTGCTCTGAGCTTGTCCCACCTCGAGAATGATGGGAAGTGGAGTTTCTGGACTTCGTTTTAATCCAAAGTTGTGTTCACAGTAATTGTCCTGCCCTTTCTGAAGCCTTAAAAAAGTCTTGTCTGATCGGTCTGCCCCCAGCTGCAATTTCCCGCGGACACGGAGAGAAATGATAACGTTAAATCTCTTTCAGACTATGTTACCCAGGATACAAAGCGCAGACACACTTCCACTCCCCTCGCAAAGCCAGAGGAAGCATCAGGCGCAGCTCGGAGAGGGTGTTTCTGGGACCTGTAGTTGGCCAACCAAATGGTAGCTGCTGCCCTCTGACGGCACCTCTGAATTGAAAAGTAAACTGAGTCAAATACCAGCGCCTAGGAAATCACAGAAAGGGCCAATAAGATTCACAAGGGCGGCAGACCGGGTGAGATACAGGCAGTTACTTAACCTTCAGAACCCGTGGAACATAGGAAGGAGCCACGTAGGCCAGCGCTGCGAGCAGATTGGGGTCCCAAGGAGTTTGTGAGGTACAGTCTGAGGAAATTTAACAGGCTGTGTTTGGGGGTTGTGAGAGTATGTTAGGAGTGATCGGAAAGGTTGTAAATTTCTATGAAGGGCCTAGTGTCTGGAGGGGTATAGGGTGTTTGATGGGCCATAAGCACTTGAGAACAATTATTGGGGATCAGTGGAGAAGTCCAAGTGGATTTAAGGTCTGTGGGAGACTTTGATAAATTACTGGTGACTAAGATATTTGAGCAACCTGAAGGGATGAGGGATGGCTGAGAAGATTAGGAGACTTTGGGGATCTGTGTAGGTGCTGGAGGGGTACAGGTCCAAAAGTGCTGAGTTAATCTGTGAAATACTCTTGAGAGACATATGAAGGACTTGCTTGGAAACAAGGATTTCACGGGATACAGGCAGGACCAATGGTGACTTCTTGTAGGAACATTTCAGGCTTGGAAATGGATTTAAGTGGGCGATTAAAGATTGAGGGAGTGGCTGGAGTCTTCAAGGCCACGTGCCACCTGTGACATCCCACACAGCCAGAATCTGGGGCAACAAGTTTGGTGGCACCGTGATCTCATCTGGAGAGCAGTTCTGGAGCTGAGCACTTAGGAATGACAGTGGTTGGAGACACTCTGAAGACACTGGGGTCCAGCTAAAGGTACTAACTAGCTACTAACAGGAGTCTTGCTTCTCTCCTGCCAGTGAGGATAATCGCCTTTCACCATCACCCACTATCAACTCAGCTGCATGTATGTTGCCAGGAGCTACGCTTCATCCCAACTTCCAGAAATAGCCAAGTGGCCCCCACCCCAGGGAATGACTTACATCACCCAGGAGAGGGAGCAGTTGCCCGAAGGCTGCCGTGGGAGCCTCTGTTTCCTGCCAGTACTCCAGCCCTAAATCCTTTCTTCACTACCAATTGACAGCATCATCTGGGACCACCCACCCAGGGCTGGCACAAGCTGAGATTTAAGCGTGAGTGGGTAGCAGTTGCCAATCAGCGTTCCTTACCCTCAGGGCTGCACAGGGTGGAGTTTCATGATGAAGGGAATCCAACAGGCCCTAAACCCTCAATTACCATTCAGTCTTTTAGCAAGCAGCTGAATGGCCTTGGGGAAACCCCTTCCCCTTTCTGGGCCTCAGGCTCCTCACCTGCACAGCCTGGGTTGGGCTAGTAGTTTCTAAGGGCAATTCCAGCCTGCATTCTTCTTGATTCTTTCATCCCTAACCCCACTCTGCATCTGGGCTTCTAGTTTATGAGTTCATTTCTCAGATCATATGATCCTTTGAGACCCTGATCTGGATCTAGCCAGCTTGGCTCTAGGAAGGAAATATCAGGAGTCAATGAAAGAAGATGGAATTCAGAGAGAAACCTCCTTTAGTCCTGGCTCAGGCATTTAACCGAGTCCACTGCCCTTCCTTCTTGGATGTTGAAAGAGAGAAAGCATCACAGCTCCTAACATGGCACACAGTAGGTCAATCAGTACCAACTATGATACTTCTCAATTTGCTGGCTGGACTGAAAGATCACTTGAGTTATCTTACAAGGTCTACATTTCAAGAGACACTGCAAACCTTGTTTCCAAAGGATTCCCAGCTTAACTAAGCATCCTAAATTGAACGCTGTGGGTAGGATGCTATAGGTAACGCAAAGAGTTCCTGTTCTTCACCAGAGACCTGGTATGTGTAGGAAATCAAAGCTAGAAAAGGTAAGCATTTCAGGTAGTCACAGCACCAGCAGCAACAGGATGATTGGTGAAGGGCCTACGGGGATTCCAAGGACAAGTAGATCCCTTTAGAATAAAGGACTGGGCTAGGGATTTAGCTCAGTAGCACTGCACCTGCCTCTGCAAGCACAAGGTCCTTAGTTCGATATCTGGTAACCACCCCCCAAAAAAATACAGGAGCAGTCAAGTACAAGAGCAGAGAGGACTGAGACCTTACCTTCAAGCTTTGGGATTTATGTGACACCCAAGGTTAGGGAATCATTTTTCTGGCCTTTTTCCCCCTAAGGTACTAGGGATCAAACCCAGGGCACTAACACACCCAGCCCTTTTTGAGACAGGATCTGTTGTGGCCAAGGCTAGACTCAAACTTCTGATGCTACTGCTTCAGCCTCCCAGAGTAGCTGGGATTACAGGCGTGTACCACCATGCCCAGCCCAGGCTGAGTTTTTGACCCATTCAGGAGTTAGCCTCAAGCCACAAAATCCACTGGGGGGCTAGTCTAGGCCTGTCCTTTAGAATTAAGCAAAGCTATAGGCCTGCGGTGGGTGCACCCAGTCCCTAGGACACATCACCGCATGCAAAGGTCCAAAGTTTTATTGTTTTGAATACATTCTCCAGCGTCCCTCTACTTCCCAACCCCACCCTCCATTCCCCATACAGAATAAGGCTTGACCATAGCCCCACCCCCACCCCAGGGACCCCAGCTGGGAGGCAGAGAGGGGTTCCAGTTTGGTTTCAGGGCACCCCTTCCCATTCCCCCACCCACCTGCCCATGGACCAGTCCTAGGAGCAGCTGGGGGTGAAAAGGTAGACTGATGCTGGGGTGAGGAGTAGGAAAGGGAGAGCAGGCACTTGTAGAGATTTGTGGCCCATGGGTGGCACCCCTCACCCTCTTTTGCCCCCCAACCCCTACCACGGAATTTTTGGTTCATAACATTGTCCCTCCCCTGCTGCAACCTTGTGGGGTATGAAAAACCCAGGCACTCATGGCCCCTAAAGGGGCAAGGAAGGCAGGGGTGAGGGTGAGGGTGGCTGGGGGGTGTAGAGGAGAGGTACAAGAGGCAGAGAACAGGGAGGGAGACAAGGCTTTACTTCCTAAGAGATTGTAATAAAAAAAGTTCCTGGGTATTAAGGCCAAAGCCTCATTCAAATATAAATTCCCCAGATGGAGGTGGCCCCTTTCACTCCGCCCTCCCTCCCTCCAACCCCGCTTTACCCCAAGCTTAGAAACCCAGGGACAAGGGACAGCTCCCAGCCCTGGGTACCCACCCACCCCCAGCATTAAAAACAAAACCGAAAGAGATTGTAATAAAAAAAGTTCCTGGGTATTAAGGCCAAAGCCTCATTCAAATATAAATTCCCCAGATGGAGGTGGCCCCTTTCACTCCGCCCTCCCTCCCTCCAACCCCGCTTTACCCCAAGCTTAGAAACCCAGGGACAAGGGACAGCTCCCAGCCCTGGGTACCCACCCACCCCCAGCATTAAAAACAAAACCGAAAGAGAAAAGAGAAGGGACTTAAAGAGCTGCCCTCACCTCCAGGATTTGGGGGGTTAAGGCAGCAAAAGAAGCATGGGGAGTGGGGGTAACCTGGGCCCCCTAACCACAGCCCTCAGGAATCTCGATGTTCCAGGGAGAGCTGGGCTGTGGCGTGCTGGAGGTCAGAGCTCACCCGCCTTGGGGTGAGCGGTCCCCCAGCATCCCCGGGCCCCTCCCCTCGCACCTTCTTGTCCTCACCCTCGTCCTCAAGGCCCCCAGTGGGGCCCCCACCCCCCTCCAGGCGACAGTCTTCACTCCAGCGCCGCTTAAAGCGCAGCTTGAGGGGCATACACTGGGTTGCCCCAGGTGTCTCGCCAGGCTCCGGCTTGGGGGGTGCGGGTGGGGCACGGGGTGTCTTGAACACTTCCCCATCTTCCTCATCCTCATCGCTGATATCAGTCACCTCCACCTCCTCCGATTCGCCTTCTGAGATAGGTTCCACCTTGATCTGTGGTGGCGGCGGTGGGGGGACCAGCGCCCCCGCCCCCTCAGCCAGCCCTCCTGCGCTGCCTCCACTGCTCTTGTCAGTGCCTCCTGGAACCTTCTCTCCAGCTGCCCGCTGTCGGCGTCCTAGTGGGGGTGGCTGCAGCTTAAACTTGAATGGGGAAGAGGAGGAGGAAGAGGAGGACGAAGCCGAGGACTGGACCGGTGGGGTCTCAGGTGCCATGGGCGGTAGCGGGCACTTGTCAGGGCGCTGGGGCTGGGGCACCACTAGCCCAGGGTAGTGCAGGAAGGCTCGGGGGCTGAGGTGGTAGTTGTAGACGCTTTGGGTATGGGCCTGCAGGTACCGTTTCATGTCCTCGGGGCTGAAGGAGAAATGCGAGCCTCCTCCTGAGCCGCTAGGGCCACCACCACCACTGGGGTACATAGGACTCAGTGTGGGAGAGGGCGTGTAAGCCAGGTGGGTGGGTGTCATGGGCAGGGCTGGTGAGAGCTGAGGGGGTAGTAGGGAGCCAGGCCCAGCCAGAGGAGATACAGGGAAAGGGCTGAGGGGCTCAGGGCCACCCCGAGGCCTGGGGTAGACACGGAAGACACCAGGGTCATGGGGCAGGCGGGCCAGTGGGGGCCCTCGGAAGGCACCCAGCTCTGGAGGGCCAGGCGGTCGTGCCCGGGGATCCTCTCCCAGGGGCTCCTCCAGCTCTGATGTGCCATCACTACAGTCACTGACTGAGCCACGACCCAGACGACGGGCTACCACGGCGGAGAAGAGGGACGATGAAGATGAAGAGCAGGCCGGTGGTGAGCGGGGGTCCTCGGTGGGGGAGAGCACCTCGGAGGGCGTTGAGGGAGGAAAGCGGAAGTGGCTGCCGCCAGACGGCACTGGAGGGGCACTCTGTGGCACTGCACCTCCTGGGAGGAGAGGGGAGACTTGGTATCATGGCCCCTAGCCCAGCTTAGGATAGACCCTCTCCTCCTTCCAAGGTCACCCATCCCCAATACTCACCAGCCAACCCCACATCGATGAAAGGGTAATTAACAAGCACCAGTTTATTGAAGTTGAACTTGTAGGTGAACCGTTTCCCCTTGGTCTTGTGCAGAATGCGTTTGTTGTAATAATAGCTGTGGAAGTAGACACACAATTGGGATGGTCACTCTACAGTCCTGGGGCGTCAGACCTAGACTCCATACCTTGACACTGCTTGGGCACTGCTCACAAAGGGAACCAGAGAAATGTGGACCACGTGACAGAAATCAAATATTCTCTATGACAACTGTGTTACCACCACTTGTCTCAAGAAAGGCTACAGCTTTCGCAAACAGCGAGGATCTGGCAGAGCCAGGAGTCAAACCCAAAGTCTGTTCCCGTGGGTCAAGGGCCTCCCAAATGGTGCAGGCTGTCCACATGTGTCCTAGGGCCCAGAGTAACACCCTCCTCACCGCAGGGCCCGGCTCAGCTTGTCATAGTTCATCTGGGGCTTGCACTTGCGGACGCCCCAGAGCCGGGCCACCTCATCGGGGTCCTTGATGACGAATTCCCCGTAGTCCCCCTGCCAGGCAATGACGCCCTGGTACTCTTCCTTCCGCAGCAGCTCCAGGATAAAGTGCCACAGCTGGATCTGCCTCGAGCCAGGGGACGACTCCGGCTTGTAGGCCCAATCCGGGAAGGCAAACCCTGGGGACAGGAGGTAGGGAGTGGCCTGGGGTCAGGATGCCAAGTCAGGGGCTGTGGGTGGCATCCCAGGGTCCACCTCCTACCTCACCCTCTTCATGGGGAAATCCCTCTCCCCTCAGCCAAGGGAAGGCCTGAGTTGGAGGGAGACAGTGTATGTCTATGTGAGGGGCTAGACAGGAACTGGGGGGAGGGGGGAGGGGAAGCTGGAGCCTGCTCCAGCGACACTGGGAGAAACAGGAAACCGTCGGCGGCGGGTCCCGGGGCCAGTGCCAGGGGGCCAGGCACCAAGCCAGGCCGGCGGGCAGGGCTGCCAGTGGGGGAGGGGCAGGAAAGGGCACACGTGGCCAGCCAGATTGGGGTACAGCCCCCCAGCCTCTCCTCACTCCCATTCAGATAGTAGCACTCCCGATAGCTCCCCTGGTACCATCCTTAGGAATATACACTATCTACCCCCCAAGACCTAACAGCCCCAGTACCATCCCAGAACCAGGGGATATTTTTTTTTTCTTCTTAAAAGGACCAAGAGGGGTGGGGTGGCTGGTTGACGATGAGGTCAGCGCTTGCACACACAGAGGCTTCTGTCTTCCCTGGAGAGTGAAACTCTGACTGTCTGAGGCCCCCCCAAGCCCTGGACCCTCTGAGTTGCATTGCCCTCCCCAGACCCAGGCATCCAGGCCAGCCCAGGCAGAGACAGAGCAGACACACTGGAACTGTCACCCTCTTCCCACTCCTGCCTTCTCATCCTCAGCTTCTTCCCTGCCCACCTGCCGGTCAGCCCACCCACCCCCAGCATTAACCTTGGGTAGAGGTTGGTGGTGGGCTGGCTGGTCCCTGGAGGGGGCAGGGAGCCTGGGGGGGGGGCTGCGGTTGTTGTCATTTCCCAAACCCCCGGGTAATCAGGGGCCATCAATAATTCAGCACTAGGCAGCCGGTAATGGAGGGGTGGGAGGAGGGAAAGGGGAGGAAGGGAGGGAGGGGGAAGCAGGGCAGGGGCCCAAGTGCCTCT